CCAGGATCAATCCTGATCCATGTGGGAGTGTCCAGGATCAATCTTGATCCATGTGGGACTGACCAGGATCAATCCTGATCCATGTGGGAGTGTCCAGGATCAATCTTGATCCATGTGGGACTGACCAGGATCAATCCTGATCCATGTGGGAGTGTCCAGGATCAATCCTGCTCCATGTGGGAGTGGTTGGATCAATCCTGATCCATGTGGGAGTGTCCAGGATCAATCCTGCTCCATGTGGGACTGACCAGGATCAATCCTGCTCCATGTGGGACTGACCAGGATCAATCCTGCTCCATGTGGGAGTGTCCAGGATCAATCCTGATCCATGTGGGAGTGTCCAGGACCAATCCTGCTCCATGTGGGAGTGTCCAGGATCAATCCTGCTCCATGTGGGACTGACCAGGATCAATCCTGCTCCATGTGGGAGTGTCCAGGATCAATCCTGCTCCATGTGGGATTGGGTGGATCAATCCTGCTCCATGTGGGAGTGTCCAGCATCAATCCTGCTCCATGTGGGAGTGTCCAGGATCAATCCTGATCCATGTGGGACTGACCAGGATCAATCCTGATCCATGTGGGATTGGGTGGGCCCAATCCTGCTCCATGGGTGGGATCAATCCCGGGATCCCTGATTGTCCAGCTGGGATGAACACCGGAGCCCCTCTGCCCCACAAGGGGCTGATCCTGCTCCCCCCTCCCGTGGTGCTGATCCCAAATCCATCCCCTTTCCCTGGGCAGGCTCAGAACCAGGCCCCTGACATGTTCTTCTGCATGAGGCTGCTGGAGGAGACCGGAATCTGCGTCGTGCCCGGCAGCGGCTTCGGCCAGAGAGAGGGCACCTTCCACTTCCGGTCAGTGCCGGGGATCCCCCGCCCCAAAAACACCCTCCTCGTCCCAAAAAAAACCTCCTCATCCCAAAAAAACACTCCTCATCACAAAAAAACTCTTCCCATCCCAAAAAACCCCTTCCTATCCCAAAAAAAACCTTCCTATCCCAAAAAAACCCTTCCTATCCCAAAAAAACACTCCTCGTCCCAAAAAAACCCTTCCTATCCCAAAAAAACACTCCTCATCCCAAAAACACCCTCCTCAGCCCAAAAAAACCCTCCTCGTCCCAAAAAATCCCTTCCTATCCCAAAAAAACCTCCTCATTCCAAAAAAACCCTTCCTATCCCAAAAACACCCTCCTCGTCCAAAAACACCCTTCCCATCCCAAAAAAACTCTTCCTATCCCAAAAAAACCCTCCCCATCCCAAAAATACTTTCCCCATACCAAAAAAACTCTCCCCATCCCAAAACCCTCTCCAAAACCCAAAAAACCCCTTCCTATCCCAAAAAAACCCTTCCCATCCCAAAAAAACCCTTCCTATCCCAAAAAACTTCTCCAAAACACAAAAACCTCCTCCCCGTCCCAAAAAAACCCTCCCCATCCTAAAATCATCCTCCCCATCCCAAAAAAACTCTCCAAAACCCAAAAACCTCTTCCCATCCCAAAAAACTTCTCCCCATCCCAAAAAAACACTCCTCATCCCCAAAAAACACTTCCTATCCCAAAAAACCTCTCCCTATCCCAAAAAAACCCTTCGCATCCCAAAAACACCCTTCCTATCCCAAAAAAACCTTTCCTATCCCAAAAACACCCTCCTCGTCCCAAAAAAACCCTTCCCATCCCAAATACACCCTCCCCGTCCCAAATACCCCCTCCCCGTCCCAAAAAACTCTCCCCATGCCAAGAACCTCCTCCCATCCCCAAAACCCCCTCCCCATCCCAAAAAACTTCTCCAAAACACAAAAACCCCCTCCCCGTCCCAAAAAAACCCTACCCATCCTAAAATCATCCTCCCCATCCCAAAAAACCTCTCCAAAACCCAAAACCCCCTCCCATCCCAAAAACACCCTCCTCATCCCAAAAAACCTCTCCCCATCCCAAAAAAACCCCTCCCCATCCCAAAAAACCTCACCCCATCCCAAAAACCCCCTCCCCATCCCAAAAACCCCTTCCCCTCCCAAAAACCCCATCCCCAAAACCCCTTCCCCATCCCAAAAAACCCCCATCCCAAAAACCCTTCCCACCCCAAAATCCTCTCCCCACCCCAAAACCCCCTCCCTATCCCAAAAACCCCTCCCCATCCCAAAAACCCCTCCCCATCCCAAAATCCCCTTCCCCATCCCAAATACACCCTCCCCATCCCAAAAACCCCCTCCTCACCCCAAAAAACCTCTCCCCGTCCCAAATACCCCTCCCCGTCCCAAAACAACCTTCCCATCCCAACAACCCCCTCCCCATCCCAAAAACTCTCCCCATGCCAAGAACCTCCTGCCATCCCAAAAACCCCTCCCCATCCCAAAACCCCATCCCCAAAACCCCCTTCCCCATCCCAAAACCCCTCCCAAAAACCCCTCCCCATCCCAAAAACCCTTCCCATCCCAAAAACTCTCCCCATCCCTAAAAACCCCTTCCCATCCCAAAACACCCTCCCCATCCCAAAAACCCCTCCCCATCCCAAAAACCCCATCCCAAAAACCCCTTCCCCTCCCAAAAACCCTCCCCATCCCAAAAACCTCTCCCCACCCCAAAACCCCCTCCCTATCCCAAAAACCCCCTCCCATCCCAAAAACCCCCTCCCCACTCGGGATGAGCGCAGGAACGCAGCTGCCCCTGTGGAATGTGGGGAGGGGGCACAGCCGGGTCTGGGGGTGTCCTGGGTGGGGGTGTCCTGGGGTGTCCTGGGGGTGTCCTGGGGTATCCTGGGGAGGGTGTCCTGTCCCGCTGTTCCAACCCCCTCCCCAAATTTCCACGCAGGATGACGATCCTGCCGCCCACGGAGAAGCTGCAGGTGCTGCTGGAGAAGCTCAGCAGCTTCTACACCAAGTTCGTCAGGGAATTCTCTTAATGAGGGGGAGGGGTCTTCCGCCATCCCAGCACCCCCCACCGTGTCACCCCCACCCTCCGTGTCACCCCACTCGTGTCACCCCATCCCGGGTGGTCTCCAAGTGCCTTCCAAGCTCTTCCTGCCTTTCCGTGGGGTGGGAGGGGGGACACGAGGGGTTCTCTCCGTGTCCCAGGGCTGGTCCCCCTCCCCTCCCCCTCCCCTCCCCACCACTGTCCCCGTGTCCCCTGAGTGGGGTGGGGGTGACACAGGCACGGGGAGGGGGAGGGGCAGGGCAGGTCCCCCCAAAATAAAGGACAACACTGAGCAGCCACGTCACGTGTGGTGTCACCTCGGGCCTCGCCGTGGGGTTTGGGGGGCAACGAGAGGCTTTTGGGGTGGGGGCTTATTGGGGTGGGGAAGGCGAGGGGGAGTCCCCGGGGAGGAGAATTCCCGCAGGAATTGGGCGTGGAAGCGCACGAGGAGCTGCAGGACCCGCTCCAGCCTCTCCGGCGGCAGCAGCAGCGACAGCCTGGGGGCACCGGGGGCACCGGGGGGGCACGGGGTCACTCTGAACCCCCTAAACACACACAACTCCCTCATCCCGGGGGGACCCCAAAATCCCACCCCCAACAGCCCAAAATCCCAGCCCTTGACACCCAACACCCCCACCCCGATGGGACCCCAAAATCCCACCCCAACACCCCAACAGGACCCCCAAAATCCCACCCCTTGACACCAAACACCCCACCCCGGGGGGACCCCAAATCCCACCACAACAACCCCAAAATCCCAACACCCCCCACCCCAAGAGGAACCCCAAGATCCCAACATCCAACACCCTAAGAAGACCCCAAAATCCCACCCCTTGACACCCAACACCCCCACCCCGATGGGACCCCAAAATCCCACCACAACAACCCCAAAATCCCACCCCAAACAGGACCCCAAAATCCCACCCTTGACACCCAACACCCCACCCCCAACAGCCCAATGGGACCCCAAAATCCCACCACAACAACCCCAAAATCCCAACACCCCCCACCCCAAGAGGAACCCCAGGATCCCAACATCCAACACCCTAAGAAGACCCCAAAATCTCACCCCCCAACTCCAAAATCCCAGTCCTTGACACCCAACACCCCCACCCTGATTGGACCCCAAAATCCCACCCCAACATCCAAACAGGACCCCAAAATCCCAGCCCTTGACACCAAACACCCCCACTCCCATGGGACCCCAAAATCCCACCCCCAACACCCCAACAGGACCCCAAAAATCCCACCCCTTGACACCCAACACCCTCACCCCGGGGGGACCCCAAAATCCCACCACAACAACCCCAAAATCCCACCCCCAACACTCCAACAGGACCCCAAAAATCCCACCACAACAACCCCAAAATCCCACCCCCAACACTCCAACAGGACCCCAAAAATCCCACCACAACAACCCCAAAATCCCACCCCTTGACACCCAACACCCCCACCTCGATGGGACCCCAAATCCCACCACAACAACCCCAAAATCCCACCCCCAACACCCCAACAGGACCCCAAAAATCCCACCCTTGACACCCAACACCCCCACCCTGATGGGACCCCAAAATCCCACCCCCAACCCCAAAGATCCCACATCCCCAACACGGAACCCCATCCCCAACACCCCCACCCCAGCGGGACCCCAAAATCCCTTCAGCCCCCCACCCCAACTACTCCAAAATCCCAACCCCAACTCCCACCCTCAGCCCCCCATTTTGGGTGTCCCCACCCCCACATTTCGGGTGCCCCCACCCTCAGCCCCCATTTTGGGTGTCCCCCACCCCCACATTTTGGGTGCCCCACCCTCAGCCCCCCATTTTGGGTGTCCCCACCCCCCATTTCAGGTGCCCCCGTGCCCCAGGGGTCCCCCGTACCCCAGGTGGGAGCCCCCCGTGCCCGGAAGTGGCTCCCTGGGGTCACCGCCAGCCCCGTGAGCTCCTCCAGCCGCCGGCAGAAGAAACGGTCGGGCTGCAGCGACAGCGCCTGGGGACACGCGTGGGGACACGGACATGGGGACACGCGTGGGGACACGGACATGGGGACAGGGACAGGGACACGCGTGGGGACAGGGACAGGGACACGCGTGGGGACACGGACATGGGGACAGGGACAGGGACACGCGTGGGGACAGGGACAGGGACACACGTGGGGACAGGGACAGGGACAGGGACGTGGGGACAGGGACGTGGGGACAGGGACGTGGGGACAGGGACAGGGACATGGGACACGCGTGGGGACAGGGACAGCGCCTGGGGACACGTGTGGGGACAGGGACAGGGGACACGCGTGGGGACACGGACAGGGACACGTGTGGGGACAGGGACACGCGTGGGGACAGGGACAGGGACGTGGGGACAGGGACACGCGTGGGGACAGGGACAGGGACGTGGGACAGGGACAGCGCCTGGGGACACGCGTGGGGACACGGACAGGGACACGCGTGGGGACAGGGACAGGGACGTGGGGAGAGGGACAGCGCCTGGGGACACGCGTGGGGACAGAGACAGGGACGTGGGACAGGGACGTGGGACACGCGTGGGGACAGCGCCTGGGGACAGGGACAGAGCCTGGGGAGACGCGTGGGGACACGGACAGGGACACGCGTGGGGACAGGGACAGGGGGACAGGGACAGGGACACGTGTGGGGATAGGGACAGGGACGTGGGCACAGGGACAGCGCCTGGGGACACGCGTGGGGACAGGGACAGAAACGTGGGCACAGGGACAGGGACACGCGTGGGGACAGGGATAGGGACGTGGGACACGTGTGGGGACAGGGACACGCGTGGGGACAGGGATAGGGACATGGGCACAGGGACATGGGGACAGGGACAGGGGACAGGGACATGGGCACAGGGACAGCGCCTGGGGACACGCGTGGGGACAGGGACATGGGGACAGGGACGTGGGGACAGGGACAGGGACGTGGGACACGCGTGGTGACAGGGACAGCGCCTGGGGAGACGCGTGGGGACAGGGACAGGGACAGCACTGGGGACACGCGTGGGCACAGGGATACGCAGAGGGACAGGGGACAGTTGGGACCGGGCACAGGGGACATGGGGAGACAGCCAGGACTGGAGGGGACAGGGGGGAGACTGGGGGGGACAGAACGGCTGGGACAGGGAGGGGAAAAGGGGATTTGGGGGAGGGGGCCCCGAGGGGGGACCCTGTCCCCAGGGTGTCCCCTGTCCCCAGGGTGCCCCCTTCCCCATGGCCCCGGGATATCCTGAGTCCCCAAGACCCCCCACAACACCAGGATCCCCCATATCCCAGGATGTCCCATGTCCCCAGGATCCCTCATTCCCAGTCCCCCGTGTCCCCAGTCCCCCTCCCCACAGAGCCGTGTCCCCCTCCTCTCTCCCCCCGAGGTCCTCTCCAGACCCCTCCCCGTCCCTCCCTGTCCCCACTGTCCATCCATCCCCCGTGTCCCCAGTGTTCCCAGTGTCCCCAGTGTCCCCCAGTGCCCCCAGCCCCCAGTGTCCCCATTCCCCAGTGCCCCATTCCCCCAGTGTCCCGTGTCCCCAGTGTCCCCAGTGCCCTCAGTGCCCCCCCAGTGCCCCCACTCCCCAGTGCCCCCATTCCCCCAGTGTCCCCAGCCCCCAGTGTCCCCAGCCCCCCCATTGTCCCCAGTGCCCCCACTCCCCCAGTCCTCCCCAGGGTCCCCACTGTCCCCAGTGCCCCCAGTGTCCCCACTCCCCCAGTGTCCCCAGCCCCGCCAGCGTCCCCAGTGTCCCCACTCCCCAGTGCCCCCATTGTCCCCAGTGTCCCCAAGTGCCCCCAGTGCCCCCAGTGTCCCCAGTCCCCCCAGTGTCCCCAGTCCCCCCATCCCCCCGCTGTCCCCGTGTCCCGCTCTGACCGTGGCGCAGCTCCGGGCGCGGGGGGGGATGTGGATGCGGGGGAAGGCGCGGGGCCCCCCGGCCAGGGGCGGGCAGCGCATCCCGGGGGTCCCGCCCAGCACCTCCTGCACCCGCCGCGCGTTCCGCGCCAGAGCCCGGCACAGCTCCCGCCGGTGCTGCCACGGCACGCGTGGGAATGAGGGATGGATTGATTGATTGGGGGATGGAATGTGCCCAGAGCCCGGCACAGCTCCCGGCACAGCTCCTGGCACAGCTCCCGCCGGGGCTGCCACGGCACGCGTGGGAATGAGGGATTGATTGATTGATTGGGGGCATGGAATGTGGCCAGAGCCCGGCACAGCTCCCGGCACAGCTCCCGCCGGTGCTGCCACGGCACGCGTGGGAATGAGGGATTGATTGATTGGGGGCATGGAATGTGGCCAGAGCCCGGCACAGCTCCCGGCACAGCTCCCGGCACAGCTCCCGCCGGTGCTGCCACGGCACGCGTGGGAATGAGGGATTGATTGATTGGGGGCATGGAATGGGTTAAATGGGATGGGATTGGGATTGGGGTGGGATGGGACAGGATCACAGCTCAAACCCCAGCGGTGCTGGGGCAAGGGGGGAGATTGGGATTAGGGTGAAATTTGGATTGGGGAGGGGTTGGGATAACGGGATGGGACAGGGTGGGGATTGTGATGGGATTTGGGTGGGGATTGTGGTGGGATTGGGATGGGATTTGGATTAGGATTGTGATGATATTGGGATTGGGATTGCGATGGGATTGGGATTGGGATTGGATTGGGATTGTGATGATATTGGGATTGGGATTGCGATGGGATTGGGATTAGGATTGGATTGGGATTGGGATGATATTGGGATTGGGATTGCGATGGGATTGGGATTGGGGATGGGATTGGGATGGAATGGGATTGGGAAGGATGGGATAACGGGGTGGGCTAAAGGGGATGGGATGGGATGAGATTGGGATAATGGGATGGGATTGGGAGAGGGGTGGGATTGGGTCTGGGGTGTAACATGGCCAGATCCAGGCTGGGAATGGATGGGATGGGATGGGATGAGATGGGATGGGATGGGATTGGTGGGGGGACTGGGATGGGATGGATGGGACTGGAATGGATTGGGGGTGAGGATGGGATTGGGATGGGACTGGGACTGGGGTGGGATTGGGATAATGGGATGGGACTGGGATAATGGGATGGGACTGGGATAATGGGATTGGCAGAGATGGGGTGGGATGGGGAGGGATGAGGTGGGATTGGGATAATGGGGATGGGAGTGGGATGGGGTAGAGTGGAATTAGGATAATTGGATGGGATGGGGAGGGGTGGGACTGGGATTAGGGTGGGTGGAATGAGTATGGGATCGGGATGGGGATGGGATGGAATGGAATAATCACTCCCCTCACCTCCTGCACGGCCTCGTAGGCAGAATCCGGGGATTTGGGGGTGTCCATGGCCACCTCCAGCATGGCCTGGCCCAGGATCGGGGGATACACCGACATCCCCCACGTGTAGAAACCCTTCAGGACGCTCCGGTCGACGTTCACCAGGTCGAAAAATCCCGCCCGGAACCCTCCCCTGGGACACAGCGGGATGGGAAGCGCCGGCAAAGGGCGGGATTTAGGGATTTAGGGGCGGGATTTAGGGATTTAGGGGCGGGATTTGGGGAGGATCCCACTCACCCCGCCATCCCTTTGGACAGGGAGTAGAAGGAGATGAGCTGGACAGAGCGGGACAGAGGAGCCCCCGCCTCGCCCAGCACCCGGCGGAACGACAGGAACGGCCGAGCCGGGTCAAAGCAGCGCTCCTGATGCACCTGGAACGGGGAAAACCGGGATGGAAACGGGATAGAAGGGAGGCAAATGGGATAGAGGGGAGGGAAATGGGATAGAGGGGAGGGAAATGGGATAAGGGGGGTGGAAATGGGATAAGGGGGGTGGAAATGGGATAAGGGGGGTGGAAATGGGATAAAGGGGAGGGAAATGGGATAAGAGGGGTGGAAATGGGATAAGAGGGGTGGAAATGGGATAGAGGGATTGGAAATGGGATAAGGGGGGTGGAAATGGGATAAGAGGGGTGGAAATGGGATAGAGGGATTGGAAATGGGATAAGGGGGGTGGAAATGGGATAAGAGGGATGGAAATGGGATAAGAGGGATGGAAATGGGATAAGGGGGGTGGAAATGGGATAAAAGGGATGGAAATGGGATAAGAGGGGTGGAAATGGGATAAGAGGGGTGGAAATGGGATAATGGGGATGGAAATGGGAGAACGGGGATGGAAATGGGAGAACAGGGATGGAAATGGGATAAGGGGGGTAGAAATGGGATAAAAGGGATGGAAATGGGATAAAGGGGATGGAAATGGGATAGGGGGGATGGAAATGGGATAAAGGGGATGGAAATGGGATAAGGGGGGTGGAAATGGGATAAGGGGAGTGGAAATGGGATAAAGGGGATGGAAATGGGATAGGGGGGATGGAAATGGGATAAGGGGGGTGGAAATGGGATAAAGGGGATGGAAAAGGGATAAAGGGGATGGAACAGGGATAACGGGGATGGAAACGGGATAAGGGGGAGGGAAATGGGATAAGGGGGGTGGAAATGGGATAATGGGGATGGAAATGGGATAAAGGGGAGGGAACAGGGATAATGGGGATGGAAATGGGATAATGGGGCTGGAAAAAGGATAATGGGAGGAAATGGGGCTGGAAAAAGGATAATGGGGGCACTGGGGGGAGGAAATAAGGTGGGAATAGGGCAGGGAGTGCCCTGGGCACGGGGTGGGCACTGGGACAGGGAAATGGGGCTGGGAAAGGGTAATGGGTGAACTGGGGGGCAATGGGATGGGAATGGGGCAGGGGGTGCCCTGGGCACGGGGTGGGCTCTGGGATGGGAATGGGGCAGGGGGTGCCCTGGGCACTGGGTGGGCACTGGGAAAGGGGTAATGGGTGAACGGGGGGGTAATGGGATGGGAATGGGCCAGGGGGTGCCCTGGGCACTGGGAAAGGGGGCAATGGGATGGGAATGGGGCAGGGGGTGCCCTGGGCACAGGGTGGGCACTGGGACAGGGCAATGGGGCTGGGAAAGGGGGTAATGGGATGGGAATGGGGCAGGGGGTGCCCTGGGCACTGGGTGGGCACTGGGAAAGGGGTAATGGGTGAACTGGGGGGCAATGGGATGGGAATGGGGCAGGGGGTGCTCTGGGAATGGGATGGGCACTGGGATGGGGTAATGGGGCTGGGAAAGGGGGCAATGGGTGAACTGGGGGGCAATGGGATGGGAATGGGGCAGGGGGTGCCCTGGGCAGGGGGTGGGCACTGGCCCAGGGCAATGGGGGGGTCGCCCCCAGCCCCAAAGCCCCCGGCCCTGCCCCACCTCGTCCGCCAGCAGCAGGAGGGGCTCCTCGGCCGCCAGGCCCAGCACGGCCTCCATGTCCCCCCGGCTGAGCACCTGCCCTGCGGGAACACAGCCGGGAACGGGAGGGGGTGGGAATGGGGATTGAACCACCGGGAATGGGGTGGGATGGGAATGGGGATGGAATGGGAATGGGGGCACTGAGGCACCGGGAATGGGGATGGGGACTGAACCCATGAATGAGAATGGGAATAGGAATGGGGGGACTGAGCCTGGGAATGGGGACTGAATCACTGGGAATGGGAATGGGAATGGGGACTGATCCTGGGAATGGGAACTGAGCCTGGGAATGGGGATGGGGGGACTGAGCCCAGGAATGGGAATGGGAATGGGGACTGAGCCCGGGAATGGGAATGGGGGGACTGAGCCTGGGAATGGGGACTGAACCACCGGGAATGGGAATGGGGGGATTGAGCCTTGGAATGGGGACTGAATCACTGGGAATAGGAATGGGGACGGGGCCTGCAAATGGGAATGGGGGGGGTTAAACTGAACCACTGGGAATGGGAATGAGGGGGTTAAACTGAGCCACTGGGAATGGGAAGGGGGGGACTGAGCCTGGGAATGGGAATGGGGGGGACTGAACCCATGAATGGGAATGGGAATGGGAATGGGGATGGGGATGGGAATGGGAATGGAGATTGAGCCCAGGAATGGGAATGAGAATGGAGACTGAGCCTGGGAATGGGAATGGAGGCTGAGCCTGGGAATGGGAATGGGAATGTGGGGACTGAGCCTGGGAATGGGAATGGAGACTGAGCCCGGGAATGGGAATGGGAGGACTGAGCCTGGGAATGGGAATGGGGACTGAAGCCCAGGAATGGGAATGGGGGGACTGAGCCTGGGAATGGGAATGGGGGGACTGAGCCTGGGAATGGGGACTGAACCACCAGGAATGGGAATGGGAATGGGGACTGAGCCGGGAATGGGAATGGGAGAGCTGGGAATGGGGACTGAACACCGGGAATGGGAATGGGAATGGGGACTGAGCCCAGGAATGGGAATGGGGGGACTGAGCCCAGGAATGGGAATGGGAATGAGGACTGATCCAGGAATGGGAATGGGGACTGAGCCCAGGAATGGGAATGGGAATGGAGGCTGAGCCCGGGAATGGGAATGGGGACTGAGGCACCGGGAATGGGAATGGAGACTGAGCCTGGGAATGGGAACTGAGCCTGGGAATGGGAATGGGGGGACTGAGCCTGGGAATGGGGACTGAACCACGAATGGGAATGGGAATGGGGACTGAGCCTGGGAATGGGAATGGGGACTGAGCCTGGGAATGGGAATGGGAATGGGGGACTGAGCCGAAATGGGAATGGGGACTGAAGACCGGGAATGGGAATGGGAATGGGGACTGAGCCTGGGAATGGGAATGGGGGGCTGAGCCGGGAATGGGAATGGGACTGAGCCTGGGAATGGGAATGGAGACTGAGCCGGGAATGGGAATGGGGACTGAACCACGGGAATGGGAATGGGAATGGGAGACTGAGCCTGGGAATGGGAATGGGGGACTGAACCCAGGAATGGGAATGGGAAGAGACTGAGCCGAATGGGATGGGACTGAGCCTGGGAATGGGAATGGAGACTGAGCCCGGGAAGGGGAATGGGAATGGAGACTGAGCCTGGGAATGGGAATGGGAATGGGGACTGAGCCTGGGAATGGGAATGGAGGCTGAGCCCGGGAATGGGAATGGAGGCTGAGCCCGGGAATGGGAATGGAGGCTGAGCCTGGGAATGGGAATGGAGGCTGAGCCTGGGAATGGGAATGGAGACTGAGCCTAGGAATGGGAGACTGAGCCTGGGAATGGGAATGGGGGGACTGAGCCTGGGAATGGGGACTGAACCACCAGGAATGGGAATGGGAATGGGGACTGAGCTGCAAATGGGAATGGAGACTGAAACACTGGGAATGGGAATGGGAATGGGGGACTGAGCCGGGAAATGGGAATGGGGACTGAGGCACCAGGAATGGGAATGGGAATGGGAATGGAGACTGAGCCTGGGAATGGGGATGGAGGCTGAGCCCGGGAATGGGAATGGGGACTGAGCCCAGGAATGGCAATAGGAATGGGGGGACTGAGCCTGGGAACGAGGACTGAACCACCGGGAATGGGAATGGGAACTGAGCCTGGGAATGGGAATGGAGACTGAGCCTGGGAATGGGGACTGAACCACCGGGAATGGGAATGGGAATGGAGACTGAGCCTGGGAATGGGAATGGAGGCTGAGCCTGGGAATGGGAATGGAGACTGAGCCTGGGAATGGGGATGGGGAATGAACCCAGGAATGGGAATGGGAATGGGAATGGAGACTGAGCCTGGGAATGGGAATGGAGGCTGAGCCTGGGAATGGGAATGGAGACTGAGCCTGGGAATGGGAATGGGGACTGAGCCTGGGAATGGGAATGGAGACTGAGCCTGGGAATGGGAATGGGGACTGAACCACCGGGAATGGGGGGACTGAGCCGGGAAATGGGAATGGGGGACTGAGGCACCAGGAATGGGAATGGGGAATGAACCCAGGAATGGGAATGGGAATGGGAAGGAGGACTGAGCTGCAAATGGGAATGGGGACTGAAACACCGGGAATGGGAATGGGAATGGGGGACTGAGCCGGGAAATGGGAATGGGGACTGAGGCACCAGGAATGGGAATGGGAATGGGAATGGGAATGGAGACTGAGCCTGGGAATGGGGATGGAGGCTGAGCCCGGGAATGGGAATGGGGACTGAGCCCAGGAATGGCAATAGGAATGGGGGGACTGAGCCTGGGAACGAGGACTGAACCACCGGGAATGGGAATGGAGACTGAGCCTGGGAATGGGAATGGAGGCTGAGCCTGGGAATGGGAATGGGGACTGAGCCCAGGAATGGCAATAGGAATGGGGGTCTGAGCCTGGGAACGAGGACTGAACCACCGGGAATGGGAATGGAGACTGAGCCTGGGAATGGGGACTGAATCACTGGGAATGGGAATGGGAATGGGGACTGAGCCTGGGAATGGGGATGGGGACTGAGCCTGGGAATGGGGATGGGGAATGAACCCAGGAATGGGAATGGGGACTGAGCCTGGGAATGGGAATGGAGACTGAGCCTGGGAATGGGAATGGAGACTGAGCCTGGGAATGGGAATGGGGACTGAACCACCGGGAATGGGACTGGGGGACTGAGCCGGGAAATGGGAATGGGGAATGAACCCAGGAATGGGAATGGGAATGGAGGCTGAGCCCGGGAATGGGAATGGGGACTGAGTCCAGGAATAGCAATAGGAATGGGGGGACTGAGCCTGGGAATGGGGACTGAACCACCGGGAATGGGAATGGGAATGGGGACTGAGCCTGGGAATGGGAATGGAGGCTGAGCCCAGAAATGGGAATGGGGACTGAGCCTGGGAATAGGGATGGGGACTGAGCCTGGGAATGGGGACTGAATCACTGGGAATGGGAATGGGAATGGGGACTGAGCCTGGGAATGGGAATGGGGACTGAACCACCGGGAATGGGAATGGGGGGACTGAGCCTGGGAATGGGAATGGGGACTGAGCCTGGGAATGGGAATGAGAATGGAGACTGAGCCTGGGAATGGGAATGGGAATGGGGACTGAACCCAGGAATAGGAATGAGAATGAGGTTGCATTTCAGATCTGAGGTATTCACATCAGCATTCCTAGATCCTTCAGCATATTCTGAAGAATATCCTGTGTATTCCTACATCTTGAGCCACCTCATCTCTATATTCTATAATCTGGTAGAGGAATTTATCCCTATTCTAAGATCCTATTCCTTAGTATCTCCCAGCATCTCCCAAACATCTTTGTAAATCTCACATCCCAGTACTCACAGATCCTGAGTAGGTCTCCAGCACCTCCCATATTCTTTGATCTCTGCATTCTTTGTATTCCAGCCACATTCCCGATATCCCGGTAGTATTCCTGGACCCTCTCGGCATTCTCAGGATCCCCCAGCATTCCCGGTATCCCGAAGCATTCCCGATATCCCCCGGCATTCCCGGCATCCCGAGGCATTCCCGATATCCCCCGGCATTCCCAACATCTTGCAGCATTCCCAGCATCCCGAGGCATTCCCAATATCCCGTGGCATTCCCGGCATCCCCCGGCATTCCTGGCATTCCCGATATCCCCCAGCATTCCCGATATCCCGAGGCATTCCCGGCATCCCACGGCATTCCCGGCATTCCTGGCATCCCGAGGCATTCCCAGGATCCCTAGGCATTCCCGGCATTCCCGATATCCTGAGGCATTCCCAGCATCCCGAGGCATTCCTGGTATCCCGAGGCATTCCCGGTATCCCCCGGCATTCCCGATTATCCCGCGGCATTCCCGGCATCCCAAGGCATTCCTGATATCCCGAGGCATTCCCAGCATCCCGAGGCATTCCCAATATCCAGAGCCATTCCCGATATCCCGAGGCATTCCCGATATCCCCCGGCATTCCCGGCATCCCAAGGCATTCCCGATATCCCGAGACATTCCCAGCATCCCGCGGCATTCCCGATATCCTGAGGTATTCCCGATATCCCCCGGCATCCCGAGGCATTCCCGGCATCCCCCGGCATTCCCAGGATCCCGAGGCATTCCCGATATCCTGAGGCATTCCCGATATCCCGAGGCATTCCTGATATCCCGTGGCATTCCCAGCATTCCAGGGATCCCGAGGCATTCCCGATATCCCCCGGCATTCCCAAGGCATTCCCGGCATCCCCCACCATTCCCATATCCCGCGGCATTCCCGATATCCTCCCGGCATTCCCGGCATCCCCCGACATTCCCAGGATCCCGAGGCATTCCCGATATCCCGAGGCATTCCCGGCATTCCTGATATCCCGCGGCATTCCCGGCATCCCGAGGCATTCCCGGCATCCCCCGGCATTCCTGATATCCCGAGGCATTCCCGGCATCCCACGGCATTCCCAGCATTCCCATGGCATTCCCGATATCCCGTGGCATTCCCAGCATTCCAGGGATCCCGAGGCATTCCCAGGATCCCCCGGCATTCCTGGCATCCCCTGGCATTCCGAGGCATTCCCGATATCCCGCGGCATTCCCGGCATCCCGAGGCATTCCCAGGATCCCCCGGCATTCCCGAGATATTCCCGGCATCCCACGGCATTCCCAACATCCCGAGGCGTTCCCGGCATTCCCGACATTCCCGACATTCCCGACATTCCCGTTACCTGCCGCAGGATCGCCGGGGCCCCGTCGGTGACGTCAGGGACGAACTGAGGGGTGGGAGGGGGACTACGGGGGGTCAGGGGGTCACCCCACTCTGTCCCTCCCCCTCCTCCCTTTCCCCTGAATCCCAGGAATGTGGAATGGGGATGGAGGAGCCTCCTGGGATACCCCGAGGTGGCCGCTTGGGAATGGGGTCCTCATGGGGTCCCACGGGTGTCTGGGTGACCCTGGGGGTCCGTCTGGGTCACCTGGGGTCCTCGTGGGGGTCCCGCGGTGTCTGTGGGTCC